GGGGGGGGGGAGATGTGGGCTGGCGGAGAGGGTTGAAAGGTGGCAGCTTGGCCCTGGCTTGCTTTCCTCTCTGCCACCAGCCATGGCAATAAGGAAAGGGCAGGTGGGGATCGGGGGTTGTGGCCAGCCAGGAAAGCTGAACCTCTGCCAGCCCAGAGCTGCCGGCAGGGGTGGGTGAGGCGGGGGCTGGAGGGCACACCTGGCTTGAAGTTCCCAGCCCTTTCTTTGTAAATATGCATAAAAGAGGGAGGGGAGGAAGCCTTTCACCTGGCCCCTTTGTTGGATGCATAGTCCTCACCAACTGGCCTTGCCCAACAGCCTCTCTACGCAACACAGGACAATTGTCCCTTCATGCACAGTCTCTGGGAGACTGGTCAGGAGCACCCAGTGGGCCCAGGCTAGGGCTAGGCTGTCTGGCTTGCAAGGTAGCATTGGCAGTGCCCAAGGCTGGGATTGTTGCTCGGGAGATATAGCTGGGCCTGGATGTGGCAGACTGCCTTTGCCCGAGTGGCCCCAAAGTTAAATGCAGAAAGCGGCAGGAGGGGATGAGGAGCCAACGTTGCAACAATGCAAACGTGCGGTCTTGATGCTCTGAGACTGCAGCCGATACTTATGCTGCTGGGTGGTCCAATCGGACCTAAACCGTCCCGCAGAGACAGTGAACAGGAAGAATACGTCTTGCAGACCTCAGGGACATCACAAAGTCCCTGATTGATGAAGAAAAGTTCTTCAAGCCAGTGACAAAAATCTAGGCAAGGCTGACAAAGTTGGGGCGGCTCCAAAATGGAAGGATACGGAAAGCGAAAGTGTTTCCAGCTGGTGAGGAACTTTTACCGTTTTAAAAAGAGACTGCCTATAAGAAACTTAAAATTAATTTAAATTGGAGAACAGAAGAATTAAGCGGTGGAATTAAATTTGGAATGGTTTTGGTGAGTTATCTTACTTTTTAGATGCTATCTTCATGGAAGGAATTTATGCAAGCCTTTTAAAATAAATGGATTAAGTTTTCTTCTACTTTTTTTCTTTTATTATTCTCTGTAACCTATGGACTAAAATTTTCCTCTTTCATTACTGTGGGTGTTCTTCTANCGCTGCTGCATCTCCCCGCCCAGCTGCTACAGCCCCCAAGGCGGGTCCGAGGACGCCTCGCTCATCCGCCACCTCCAGGACCGTCTCTGCGGCTGGTGCAAACCCAGCGGCTCCGGCTACAGCTCCTAAGAGCAGAAGCAGCAGAGGATCAGGTCCAGAGACGGCGGCCTATTCCGCAAAGCCTAGAGGAGCAAGGGAGGGCGGCCCGCCCAGGTCTGCAACGGCTTCTGACGGCCAGCGCGGAGGGCCAAGGAAGAGCGATGGAGGAGCAGTCAAGAGCTCCGCGGCGTCGGGTGGAGTCAAGCCTTCTGCTGCTTCCGATGCTGCGAGCAAAACCCAAGGCAGAGCGAGGGGCCTGCCTGCGCCCCTCTCCCCTGAAAAAGTGGCTGAGGTCGAGAGGGAAACCCGCGGTCAGTGGAGGAACCCCGAATGGCACAAGTGGCGCGAGAACCGCATCACTGCCTCCATCGCGCCCAAGATCTCCAACAGCAAGTTTGCAAACGGCCGCAGCTCGGAAGTGCCTCAGTCGTACCTGAAGGAGGTGGTGGGATCGCGCTCCACGGTACGGACCCCAGCCATGAATTGGGGAGTCCGCAACGAGAAGAAGGCAGTGGAAGCTTATGAAACCCTCAAGTCCAGCACGGCAAAGAAACCGGTGAAGGTGAAAGAATGCGGCATCATTGTCGACAAAGACAAGCCCTGGCTGGCTGCCAGCCCCGATGGCATCGTCCAAGACGCGGGTACCGGCAAGGACCTCCGTCTCTTGGAGGTGAAGTGCCCCTATAAACACAGAAATAAGACGGTGACCGAAGCCTGCCAAGACAAGACCTTCTGCCTGGAAAATGAGGGCAATTCCTACTCGTTGAAGAAAAACCATCCCTATTATACCCAAGTCCAGTGTCAGATGAAAGTCTCCGGCCTGAAGAAAACGGATTTTGTCGTTCACACCAACAAAGAAACCGCAATTGCCCCGGTGGATTTTGACCCGGTTTTCTGGAAGGAAACAGTCCCCAAACTGGAGAAGTTCTACACGGATGCTGTGGTCCCTTACCTGGAGGAGAATAGACCTGCCCTCTTGGCTAGTGAAGAGTGAAGCTGTGGGAAGAAGTTTCCGATATTTTCTTTCTCTTTTCTTCAGAAGATGTGCCTTCAACCTGTTATCCCCGTTCTCCTTTATACTTTTCTTCTCCAAGAGGACCAGAATCCGTTGCAGTTTTTTGTGTGTCCCAAGGCAGCTTTGTAAATTCTATAGAGCGGTGTTTCTCAAACCTGGACGATTTTCAGACGTGGACGTCAATTCCCTAGGTGGCTAGAGAATTCTGGAAGTCTACACTATCTTAAAGTCAAGATAGAGAAACATTGGCCTAGAGCTATGGTGGTGAACCTTCGGCATATGTGCCGGAAGTGGCACCTCTCCAGCCGTCGCCCGTTGCTCTTTCAGGTTCCGGCGGCAGCTGGTCTTCGTGCAACGCAACAGCACTGGAAACAGGAAGATCAGCTTCCCCGACACGCAGGCATGTGCTGGAAAGCAGAGCTTCTGGTTTCCGGCACATGCGTGCATGCCAGCCAGCTGGTCTTTGCACAGGCATGTGCACCAGAAACCGGAGCAACAGGTGACAGGTGCACATGAGCATGCCGGAAACTAGAAGCTCAGCTTCCCGGCGTGCATATGCATGCCAGGGAACTGTTTTTCTGGTTTCTAATGCCCCCCCAGTGTATGCGCTCCCATTTCGGCACGGTGCCAAAAAGATTTCGCCAACACTGGCCTAGAGTATAGCCCTCCCTCTCTCTTTCTTTCTCTCTCTCTGTGCCTTCAGTTAACGTTTTAGAAAGCTGCATTCCTCTTGGGAACACGTGAATCGCCCTCAGCCTACTATTAGAACAGACCAACGACATCTAGAGCAGCCCCAGTTTTTCTCCTGCCACAGATCACGAACATCATTGGTTATTCTCTTTACCTGAGCAGGCAAAAGGTAGATTTTTTTTTTTAAAAAAAGCAAGACATTCTGGACTTGCTGCTGTCAGATTTTTCGATCTACTTCCAGGTATTCTTCCATGGAGACGTCCTCGGAAATGAAAATAGCTTTTGCTCGAGATGCTGTAACTTGACCAGAAATGGAATACTTTTGAATGTTTCAATCCACAGCAGAGCTAAATTGTCCTCATCCTACCCGTTGCATTTCCTGGAACCTGCGTTGTCCAAGAAATATCCAGTGTGATAACAAAAGGCCACAAGTTGCATGGAAGAAAAGTGACCCGGTTAATTAAGGGCTGCGGGTGTTTGAACATGGATAAAAATAAATCAAAACTCTTTGTTTTCCTGCTGTAAACGGCACACATTCTCGGTTATGTATCCAGAATGACTTGTGATCCAGTGGTAGCGAGAGAAAGTTAGATTATCATTTAGGCAGGAGGGATAGATATGCTGACTTGGTCTCTTTCAGTACAGGTGGAAGTGCATCTTTGCTTAGGAAGTTTATATATCAAAAGAAATTGTAGTGAAAAAATATATATTTTGAGGGAATTGCAACTGAGTTTTTGAAGGGTGTTTAAAAAAATATAATTAAAAATGTGATGTGGGGGATCGTAACTGACTTTTTGTAAACTCTTGTGATGTTTTTCTTTTGGACACATTAAAAAACAGCTCCTCCTATTTGTTCTCTGGGGCTTTAGTTAATGAAAATAAAAACAATGTATGCTGGATTTTGGTCCTGTGGTCTTTACAGCACAACCATAAACTGAATTGAGAAGATAAGGGCATAAATGCCTCAATTGTTGTTATTTTTTACTATCTATTATGGCTAACAGTATTTTAATTTTTTTATTATTATTAAGGCAGGGGTTCATCCCATGCCTTTCTACTCAAGAGATCATGGGATGACTGGAAAATGAACTTTTAACTACAGGAAACCGCGTGGAAGAAAAATCCAGCAGCTAGCTGATATGGTGCAGTGATGTTGCCATCTCTATTTCAACCCTAAGGCTGAACTGTTGAGCCTGAGATTCCAAAACTATCTTTAAATCTTAACTATTAATTGGATTATGGAGGTTAACATGCCAAAGAAGTAAACAAATCAAGGATTGCAGAGTTTAGGACATGGCTGGGGAATTCTGGGAGATGAAGTCTGCCAGGTTTAAAGTTGCCAAGGTTGGAGACCCCCTGATCTAGGAAGATCAGCTCTTTAAGAGCATCCCAATTTCCAACTTTACTTTCAATTACACAACTGTAGGTAGTTCCTTATGCCCATTGAGCCTGGCAGTTAGTCCTGAAGGTTGTAAAAGCAGGTGATTGACCTGATTTTATGGCCTTTTCCTTGCAAGAGTCATTAAGCAAAGCCCCAATTGTTCACCGGGCGAGTTTTTCTTGGAAACTGGAAGTAAATGCTAGTTTTCTGGCCAAAAATAATAATAATAAAGTATTGTGTATGCATCTGACCAGGGGTCACTGCGAATGGATACAAATGAGGGCAGTTGCCCAGTGCCCAAAATGTGTTCATGCAACTGCCAGGTTGGGGGCCGGGGGAGTGGATCAGAACCAGGTCATAGTAGTTTTTGGGCAGGCGTCTATTGTAACTTTGGTCACTAACTGAACAAGCATAAATTGAGGATTACACAAAGGGCAGCAAGCAAGATGAAAAAATTGTGAAACGGATGAGAAAATAATTACACTTAAACTAAACTAGGAGAGTATTTGGCAAACTGAAAAATTAGGGCAAGAGCCTTGTGCGCAAATGTTAACCTGTTGATAAAAGCAGTGGTTTGATTTGCATTGAAACGAAGCATGAAGAGCTGCTTTAAAAGTATTTTAATCTATACGTATCACTCGGTATATACCCAGTATACAGCATTGTACTGTGCTACCTTACATTTTTATACAGACTAACCGTAAAAATGTAAACACTCAAGGGGAGCAGAGGTACCGGTGGGATCACAAGTTAGGCCTGGATTTTTTTTGCTCTCAAGCAGTGCGTAGCCTGTTCCAAACCCACTCTAAAATGACTGCAATGTTGTGTGTGTGCTATCGGGACCAAACTTTTCAGATCGAAGCACGGCTGAAGGATGAGATGAAAGAAGGCACGTGGGTCAAACCAGAAGAGTCTCGGCGGAGCAGGGGGGGGAGAGTGGCAAATCACCTCCAAACAAGCATTTGCTTGCTGGCTGGCACAATTTCTCCAGCAACAACCAATAATTTGCATAGTACACAGATCTTTTTTTTTTTTTTAAAGAAATCCCCAGATTGCTCTCCCAAGAGCAGCCTGGAGACAAGCAGGACCCAATCTGCTTCTGCCAGGAGCCTCCCCATCCATCTACCTTGGGGGGGGGGAAAAGGTCTCCTCCCCCTTTTAGCTCCTAAAAAGGCTCTACAGCTATTCGTGTTCTCAGTTCCCCCTCCTCTCCCCAAGTCCCACCTTCCCTTCAAATGAGACAGTAGTGCAACCGGAAGTCTAGGCTAGGCCAGTGAGTGGAGTAGATAGAGCTAAATATTTTCTAAGCCTCTGCATACCAAGTATGTACAGTTGGGGAGTGTTATCACTCCCTTTCCTGGCCCAATGGCGACCAGCCTGGCTATATAGCATGGCATCTCGCTCGAATGCTGAAAGGGTGGGGAGCTCCGAAGTGGGGTGCCAGCTGTCCTGGGGACAGAACGGAGCTCTCTAAATGGGCTGCAAAAGAGCCCTCTCTAAGCTGTGTGTGTATGTGTGCCCAAGGGGGAAGGGGACTGGGCCCCTTTGAAGTGTGCTTTTGGGAAAGAGATCGAGGAGCTTCCCCCGACTCACCGTTCCAAGGGGCAAAGAACAAACCACAAAAACGGGGGTGCATAATCCGATCCATTTAAAGCCCGAGCAGCTAGCGTACCACAGAGAAGTCTTGCTTGGGCCCACGACTCCCTTTAGGCTGCTGAGAAAAGGCACCTCTGCACAAGGGCAGAGAGGCTACTGGCTAACTTAGTGCATTGCCTGCAGATAAATTCCCCCCCCCCAAAAAAAACCCACAGTCTCGTGTCTGCCAGGCATTTGTGCATTTGCTGCTCTAGCATAACCCTGAGATCTCAATAGCACCCCAGTCTCTTCCTCTGCCCCAATTTTAACATTTGGAATAAGACACGCGGGTCAAAAAGTCTTGGAAATTTCCAGGGCTGCCTCCGGTCTCTCCTCCTTCCCTAGGGCAGTTCCTGCATTTTGATTGTCTTGGCAGCAAAAACAAAATCCAACTGAAGCTTTGGAGGGCGGTGGCCCTTCGCCCCTCCCGGCTACCGTCAGTCACAGAAGCGCTTGCGGGGGACGGTACGGGCTCTGTTGGACCGGCGGATCTCTTGCTTGGCGTCGCGGCAGCGTTGGCAGATGAAGACCTCGGGCACGTTGGACTTGCGGATCTTGGCGCAGGAGAGGTGTATCCAAGTCGTGCACTCGTTGCATTCGATCATGGGTCGCCCGGCGAAGGGCTTTAGGCAGAAGCAAGTGATGAGGTCCCAAGCGTCGTCTTCTGTGTAAAAAAAAAGAGGGTGAAAAAAAAGTTTTGTGAATGGCATCCTGGCTTGTTTTCCTTAGCTAGCACACCTCAATCGAATATTGGGATTAGTAAAGTGTTTATTCTAAGACTGTTTAGAGCAGTGGTCCCCAACCTTCTGGTTTTGCAAACTGGGGGGGGGAGGGTTCCACATGAACAGCAAGCAAGCGCATGCACGCTCCATTGGTGCAAGCTGCTCGAGCAAGTGGAGTTGCATCTGCGCACACGGCAGCCTGGGGGATTAGGGACCCCTGCCTTAGAGATGGCTGTAAAATTAGCTGTTTTAACTTCCTTTCATTTTCAAACCATTTCCTTTATGCAAAACGCTTGAAATTGTACCTTATGATTCTTGACGAATGTATCTTTTATTTTATATACAGTGAGATATATGCACCAAAGGCAAATTCCTTGTGTGTCCAATCACACTTGGCCAATAAAGGATTCTATTCTATTCTAAATGCCATGTCTGTAGTGATTGAATAGAACTTAGAATAACTTTATTGTCACTTTGATTGTACACTAATCAGCATACATTCAAATGAAATTCCATCGCGTACCGCTCTCAAAGGGTCACCACCTCCAATATACACTACATAAACATGACAAAATAAACAAATAAATAAATACAAAATGATGCATGTGCCCACTTATAGGACACAGAGAAACAACAGAGTCTAGTTTGGATGTATACATGTAAATGAGCCTCCAAGGCAGCATTTCTCAACCCTGGCAATTATAAAGACGTGTGTGCCCCAATTCCTAGAATTCCCCAGCAGCACAGCATTCTGGGAATTGAACCCCACTGGTCATAAAAATTGCCTGGATTGAGAATTGTGGCTCTCTGGGCTTATTAAAGAATCCAACCAAAATGCATGTGCTCCCCCTACTGGCAGCTGGCAATACTGCCCTTAACTCACCATCTGTTTTGGCGTCTGAGGCTGCAGGGAACTCTTCGGGCATATCTGCAAGAGGAAGAGAGAGAAATATCAGGTAAAGAAGAGTGTCCACATTATGTTGCTCACTGCCAGTGTTTGCACAGCATCCTTCAACCTAACCAGAGTATGTAAAGCCATGTAAAATGGATAAAGCAGCCACTATGCCTTTAATTGGTTTAGTTAAGGAGCCAACCATTCTCAATCAAGAGATTCATCAAACTTCTTGAAGCTTATTGGCTCCTGATGTTGCACCATAAATGTTGCCTAATCTCTCCACGCACAAACTCCACTAAAAATGGGGAAATAGCGTCATTTGGCACTCCTGAAAAGTAATAGGATTTCTGGAAAAGTGAAGAGATTCCTACAGAGGGGAATGTGATTGGGAAAATATTAGAATGTGCAGAAAAGAAAAGATTTAACATTGACAATCAAAGAACAAACCAATTATTATACTATATAGGAATCATTTTATCAATAGTTAAGAGAATAAATATAAGAATCAAATAAAAGTAGATGAGTAAATATAGAAAACGTATTAATAGAGTTAGATAAAACAAGAAGAGGATTGTTATAGTATTAGACATTTAATGTATTGGCATTAAGCTAAGAATAGATTAAATAATGAAGATGATTGTAAGTTTTAATTATTGCACAAAACAAGATGGATTGTTTGTATTAAAAATAAAATTTATTTAAAAAATAGGATCATTCCCAGGGAGGACTCAAGTCAGATCACTTCCACCAGTTCTCTAAGGCAGACACTCAACCCAGCAAATTTTGAATGGGTAGACTTCAACTCCCAGAATTCCGCAGCCAATTGCACCCTATAACGCAAACAGGGCATCCAAAGTTCAGGCTGTCGGAGAAGCTGTGAGTATCCAAAAGAAAATGAACATCTGTATGGGTTGCCAAGGTCTATTGCAGATCTACAGGAGGAGCTGATCTCTTTAAAGCAAGGCTCTCAAATCTTGGCAACTTTAAGACTTGTGGACTCCCAGAATTCCTCAGCCAGCCAAGCTGGTTGGGGAATTCCGGGGACTTGAAGTCCATAAGTCTTAAAAGTGGTCGAGGGAATTCTGCTTCATGCTGGCTGGGGAACTCTGGGAGTTGGAAGTTCACGTATCTAAAAGTTGCTGAGGTTGGAAAAACCTGCTCTAGAGCAACAGTCACCAAAACTGGTGGTCCGCGAAAAAATTTTGGTGGCCCGCAATAAAAATCTTTGCATTTTTATATTGCGCTGGACCGCCAGAGCAATTAATCCTGCTCACTGACGGGATGGGGTCCTTCAGGCACTTAGCTTGGCTGCCTGTTTAGTAGCTCCACCCCTTCCCTCCCTGGGAGTCCAGGCGCTTCACAAAACTTTGGCCTCAGGGAGCCAATCTAGCATCTGGGCTGGCTACAAGGCAAACGTTCATTCTTATGTATTTGAGGTTCCTATCTGCAATGGACAGCAAAGCTAGGGTTGACCCCGGGCACTTCTCTCTGCTAACAGGCAGCCAAGCTAAGTGCCTGAAGGACCCCATCCCGTCACTAATTCATATTAGTGGTCTGCGGGTTTTAAAATTATGAATTGAATGGTCCCTGAGATACGAAAGGTTGGCGATCCCTGCTCTAGAGAACGGCTGTGTTAAAGGCCCGTGGCCTAGATGGATCAAAATTAGCTGCTGTGTCTGGTTAAGGGGGGAGGTCACCCTTGCTGAATTACTTCTAAGACAGGGGTGTCTAACTCATCACGTCGTTGTCATGTGATGTCTCGCGACTTTTCTCCCCATTCGCTAAGCTGAGCTTGGGCGTGAGCAGCGCGTGACGCATCCGATCCGCAGACCGCGAGTTTGACAGCCCTGTTCTAAGAATACCAGCACTTGCAGACTTACCGCTAAGTTGAGGGACGTCTCCTGCCGGTTCTTCTGTGCTTTGCTCCACCGCGCCCCAAGAGGCAGAGGTGGTTCTTTCCTCTTTGCACGTCCCCTGTTCCTCAGTCTTCTCTTCGGTGTAAAGTCCAGGGATACAGTCTTTCTCCGTTTGCTCCAAAAGAGGTCTGGATGGGACCTCTTGGAGACAGGATTGCAGCTCCTTCACTTCCGTGAAAGCCTCGGGCGTTCTCTGTGCATGGTCCTTCGGGGGCATCAAGCCCTTGTCCGTTGCCTGGTTCGCGCTGAGTTTCTTTGACGACTGTGACTGTTTCCTCTTCTTGGTTTGCTGGTGCCGACCAGCGCAAAAGCTACTGGCTACGTTGGGGCAGTTCAGCAGCTCTCCTGTCCCCTTGTAGGCTCCGCTCCTGCCTCCTCCATCGTCTGAAAGCACTTGGGAATCACAGGACTGAGCCGATCCCCAACTGTCACTGTCTTGGGTGCTTCCAGTGCTGTTCTGAGGGCTCCTGTTGCCTCGGCATGTCCATGGCTCATTCTGGGGATGGGAGAAAAGAAAAGAAAGCTGTGGGATTTGCATTCTGGCAGATGGGAGAGAATGGGAGCGCCCAGCACCCAGGCCAGGAAGGTAGAGAAAGGGCCAAGTGCTCGACAACTGTTCTTACCTCCTTTGGGTAGGGAATGTAACCTGCGTAGGCTAGCACAAAAGTGCAGAATTGATTGAAGTCTTCTACAGTTCTCTGTCTTTTCTGGGGTGGCTGCAAAGACACGTGGATTTTACAAGTCTGGATCTCAATATTCCCTTACAATAGTTTTAACTTCAGAGCAACCATCAAGTAAACAGTATCCCAATCAAGAAACTGTTGAAGAACTATCAGTAAACAGCCCAACCAAAGTATCCTTAAGACCGCCCGCACTCACACAGACCAACAAGTAACCAGAATATAAACTGAGAGCAGACAGCATTCCTTACTATAACACTGATGTTGTTACTTAGTTTGGGTAATGAAACGTCTACAAGAAAACAACCAATCTCTCATTTCAACTGAGCTACAAATATTCTCCTTTATTGGGTGCTCTTACAGTGTTAACGAACTAGCTGAGCATGAATAATAGAAAGTTTCTATGACATTCCCCAACAAGTGGAATGTCACGAGAACACAGTCAATGCAAGTTGGTTGACAAAACCTAGACTATCCTATTCAGTTCCATAAATCATTGCCCATCATACACATACAAAAAAAAACTATCATCTTGCCAATATATCCTTGGTCAACACTGTGAGCAAAATACTCTTTAAGGTGGATTGCTTGCTATCGAAATGTAAGCGTCTCCCTCACTCAGAGGCAAGCCACTCAATTGTCCTGCTCAACGTTACTGACAATCAATGCCAGGCTGGAAAAAAATGCGAATGCATCTCAAGCACCGGCTGAGCTTGGTTTGCATGGCAGATTCTGGTGTGGCACCAAGACAAGAAGAGCCCTGATTGGACCCAAAGGATCTGGGCTGGCCTTCTGGATTATCCAGTGGACATCTAAATGCTTTTGGAAAGTTCATCAGCCTGGACTCACCCAGTTCCTTCCACTGTGGCTTCCCAGCTGCAAATATTTCAAGCCTTCTGCCACAAAGATGGGGTGATGTCCACAGCCCTCAATCTTGATAGCCACATCCCCTTTTGTGGTTGTTGTTGTTGTTGTTAGTTGCAAACTTGTGTCCCACCCATTGCGACCCCATGGACAACGTTCCTCCAGGCCTTCCTGTCCTACAGCCCCTTCTCAAACCATTATCTATCTATCTATCTATCTATCTATCTATCTATCTATCTATCTATCTATCTATCTATCTATCT